CATGACTCATGCATAAATCCTTCTCGAAGAATCATCAAGGATCCAACATGTCGCGTGAGTGAAGGTTCCAACATGTCCCTCACATGTACAGTTGCCGCTGATCTTTTTGTACCCGAAACCCTCTGAACTTCCTCCTCACTGTTCAGAGTGCACAGGGGTTGTGATCCACGGCCGGAAGGTTTCTTTTCCATCGCTGGAGCCATGTGCCAGAGCTGCCAACAGGTCAAGCGCGCTCCGCACAGCAAGTTCATGAGCCGAGATGGTAGAACTCAAGGCTTGTGCCACGAAGCCATGGGTCCAAAAACCACGTCTGGACGCTTGGACTCATGAGAGGCAAACCTTGGCGGCTTCGGTGTCATTCCTTGCTCATCAGGCTCTCCGCCCGTGTTCGGCTGTTTGGGATGGCCGCGCGTTCGATCTGCTCCTCCTGGCTGAGGTGGCTGATTGGCTGCTTCGGACTTGGATTGGACATGTGTGTACACATCTATTTTTTGTATTATATATATATATTATGTAAATATGAGTATTATATATATATATATATATATGCATGTGTACTTTGTTCATTGAATTTGGGTGTCATCGCTTTCTCTTCGATATAACGGTTACGGTATATATAATCTCTGGTTTATATATATATATATATATGTATATATATGAGCTTCGGGCCCAATCCCCTTACAGTGGTGAAGCGTAGTCGGCAAAGCGATTGGGTGAGGGTTCCATGGAGAAAGCCATCTTCGGTACGCCTCCGGCGGCCGTTGATGATAGCTGGTCCGGCGTGGCCTCTTTTCGATCCACGCTGACCGGCGATGGAGCTTTTTGGGTCACTCTGCTGCTTCCTTGGGAGATGGAAGCTTTGGTGGCGGATTGCGGTCTTATCCCCACCGGTTGCACTAAGGTGACGCTCTATGATTGGAAGGTGTCTTGCATGGACCCCCTCATTTTGTCGGCCACCGCTTCGAGTCAGGCCTATCCATGCTCCGCTATGCCTAGGACATTTGGCGAGAACATCATTGAGCTCGCTGCTGGCAGCGGAGCTATGGGATTGGGTGCTCTCTTCATGGGAGCACGGATTAGGGTTCGCATTGAAAGCTGCAACTATGCCGTGGAGCATTTGAAGCACAATGAACACGGCTTCATCATCCATGATGACGTCGGCTCCTTGGCAGCGATCAGATCGGCTCATGAAGTGCTCAATGGCCTTCCTACGACAGGCTTCTTCGGATTCCCGTTGCAGTCGCTCATTGTGGAGTGCGTTCCTATGGCCTGCGCTACAGTTGCAGTTCAGGAGGCACTAGAATTGGTCTGCGGGGCCATGGGTCGGGAGAAGATTGATTTGATGCTCGACCTCAAGCTGCAGTGGCCGATGCGCCGGGCACGCTGGTGGGGCATCCTTGCCCCACCTATCTGGCTTGCAGGACCTTTTCATGGTTGGGCTACAGATCCACGCTTCCCTACGACAGGAGCACTTCTCAAGAGTTGGCCTGCGTATCTTCCAGGACGCCGCATATGGCACTGACCAACGCTGGTACGGGACGCAGCATCAACTTCCCACAATCCTGCATAGCTATGGATCGTGGTTTGGGCCATGCCCTTGCGGATGCTCACGACAAGCCATGTCCGCTGAGGCGTTGAAGCAAAAGGGTATTCGCGGTTGCTATGTGACTTCTTCATTGACAGGACAGCCTCGACTGCTCCACCCACATGAGCTTGCATTCATGCTCGGCATTCCAAGCTCCATGAAGTTCCATACCACTCCACGGGACACCCTGCCATTACTCGGCAATGTGGCATCGCCAATGCAGGCTGTGTGGGCCTATGCCATGCTTGTCAGATCGGTCAGCAGAGCCATTCCAGACATTTTCGCGATTGACCCAGCACAGGTCCTTGACAGTTTCAAGCGTGAGCTCATTCGACAGTTCTATGGAGCCCATCATCTCGACGTACCACTCACAAGCCTTTGCATTGTGGCTGAGGATGGAGCTGAATTGACCCTGTTTGCAGCTGGGACTAATCTTGCAGCTGATCTTCTGCATGCAGAGAAGCTTCAACTACACCCAGAAGCTAGCTGTGCCCTCTTTGAAGATGACCGTCAACTTTCCATGTTTGAGCGGTTTCCTGCGATTCCTAATGAGAGATGCTGTCGCCTGCGACTGCGAGTTGAAGGTCCTTACTCCAAAGTTTGCCATGAGGAGATGATCGTCATCTCCCTCCAGCAAGGCCAAGAGCATTGGGTTGAGCTGCAACGTGCAGGCCAATTTCTTTTTCAAGCATTGGAATCCAAGCCATTCGAGACCACATACCTCTTTGTTGACAGCACGGGACGTCTCTTTTCACGTGATGCAAGAATCTGGCAGTCCCTTCGACTTCGCCCACTGGGGCCACACTCGTTCCCTACTTTGAGGACTACCACCACACTCGAGGCATGTGGCCACGATGGACTTCATTCCTTTGCTGCGCCCCCTTCACTGGGCTCCGCCAACGGTCCTGGATTTCCTGTCGCAGCTGCTGCGGTGCCTGGACTTGGCGCCCGCCTCATTTGGCAAGTCATGCAGTCTCTCACCCACATAGCCTTGGACTTGCACCTGGTATGGCATCTGGCATCCAGGAATGCTTCTGCATCTTTGCTGCAGAGGGGCATTGGGCTCTTCTATGGGGGCGACGTGGGCATGATCTGCGTTGGATTTACCTTGACCCTCTCTCCGATGGACTTCGAACCTCAGCCTTGATTTTGGCTACCCGTATCACTGGACTTTTAGGTGGTCGGGTTGACTCTTTTCAGTACTCCACGCTGTACGTACAACGGGACTCATTTTCTTGCGGCGCTCTTGCACTTCTGCATATGGCTGCCGCTCTTGGACTTCCAGGGTTGCTCATGCCCAATGCGGTCAAGGCCCTGCACCTTTGGCTGCTTCGTCACTCGGGCTCTGAAACCTTTCGGGCCAAGGGACCTGCAGATGCCTCTGCCCTTCAGCAGTTGGCTGAGTTCCTGGTCAAGCATGGAGTTTTCCCTCAGGCGGCATCAGAACGTGCTCAGCGTGTGGCAAACAAAGTCGGCATGACTGCCATCCAACAAGCCTTGAACAGTCGCAATCCTTGGGCAGCCCTCAAAGACAAGGCATCACAGCCAGGCACCTCCATCCGCCTTGTTACTCATGAGGAGTTGGAAGCAAGGGCCAAGGACAAGAAGAGCCGGACGGTGGCACCTCGCATCTCTGCTGAGCAACTTGATGTCACTATGCTCCAACTTGACAATTCACATTTCAAGGATGAGGATGGCGACGACATCCCGCAGATTCAATTCAATGAAGTACGCTCCAATGGACGGGGCATTGCCATCTGCACTCAGGCAGACGCTCGGGC